AGTATAATTATTAATAAAAAATTATATTAATTTAATGAATGATATATAAAAATTAATTTCATTTTTTAAGACATATCAAGAGATCTTAGTAATATTTTTAAAGATAGTAAAAGTTATACTGTTTGTTTGTGGTTTGGATGGTTTCCAACCATACTGACTGCAGATCCAGAGATTATTACAAATGTTTTGCGCTCTCCAGAGCTTCTTAACAAAGCAGAAAGTATTTATCATCCTATTCGCAGTATCTTTAAGGGAGGTCTTGTTGCAAGTAGAGGTACTACTATAATAAAGTATTTTGAAATCTAAAAGTTAAAAGATATTTTTTTCTATAGTTGATGAATGGTCGAAGAATCGCAAGCTAATAAATCCTGCCTTTGCAAATAAAGTGCTTATGAGTTTTTTTCCAATATTTAATAAAGCTAAGAATAATATAATTGAAAAGTGTAGCGAACTGGTAGACAACAAGGAACATAATTTACTGAATGCTATACAAACAATGACTTTAACAATAACTGCAGGTATAAAACTGTTGAACTATTGACATTAGAAAACGATGATTAAATAAACCATTTGACTTCAGAAACAACTATGGGCAAGTACATGCACAAAGGTAACCAGATTTCGAATGATATAGCCAATAACATGTGTGTGTAAGTTATTTAACTAGACGTATATTGTATTTTTATGGAAATAAATTAATAATAAATAAATAAATAATAAATAAATAAATAATTAATCTCATATGTACAGCATAATGGAATATACTGTAATTAGTATATTACTTTCGTTTATGAACCTCGGTTTCATAATGGAGTTGTTTTCGAAATTTAGAAATGCTAAAAAATATTCATACCAGTTCGTCGAAGATGTTAGTATTTATTATAATTCCTACACAGAAAAGATAAAAATTGCTTAAAATGTTACAGTTGATTCACAAAAAACTTTCTAAAACTACTTATGCAGAAAAAAGTATTACAAATACTAAAGATGACATGTCCAGTAATGAGAATTTCTTGCTTACAAACGAAGAAAATGAATTCACTAATAATGAAGATGATCTTGCAGACCTTTCTATAAAAAAGGAGCCAAACATTTTTATTGATCAAGCAATAAAACTATACAAACAACAACTATTCACATGGAATGATATAATAAGTGAATCAAATACAATTGTTGGTGCAGTGAGTACACGTGAAGTATTTATATTTAATATATTTACAATTCTTCATTGATTGTAGGCATTTGAGACTACAGCTAATGCCATTTATTCTGCTCTTGTTATGTTGGCCATGCACCCGGAAATCCAACAGCGACTTTTTGAGGAAGTTTTAGACGTATTTCCTGAGAAAAACTTTAATGCTGGGCTTGATCAGTTAGATCAGTTACAATATTTGGATTGTGTAATAAATGAAACACTTCGTTTTGCTCCGCCTGTTCCAGTTATAGGCCGTCATGTTACAAAAGATACACAAGTTGGCAAAAATGTATTTCCCAAAAATACACAAATTCTAATCTCAATACTACATCTCCATCGACGAACAGATATTTGGGGTTCAAATGCAAATAAGTTTGATCCAGAACATTTTTCAGCTGAAAACTTCGGAGAAGCTCAGAAATGTGCATTTATTCCATTCTCAAGAGGTAAAAGGAATTGCATAGGTAAACCCCTACATAACTAATTTAAATGTACATGTAGATTAGTTCATTATGTGTTGTTTACAGGATTACGATATGCCATGTTCTCAATGAAAATCATATTAAGTGGACTTATTCGGAACTTCATATTTGAAACTGATTTTAAATTCGCGAATCTCAGATTTACGAATCACGTAGCATTAAAATATTTAGAGGAACCCGAATTGAAAATCCGTTTGAGGTCATAAGTATTATACGCATGTGAGCTGAGTAAAATCCATAAAGTCTATTTGTGATTAATAAAATTTGAATTAAATTGAATAAAGTAAAATTATGAAGAAAATAAAATTCTAAATAAAATTAAATTTTATTTAATACGTGGGCACCGAAATCCATTTTTCATATATCGATTTTAGAATAGTGTTCTACTTAATTTTCGAAATGGACGCAGAAAAATTTCAACTGTTTCAAATCTTAGTATGTACCAGATGTTAAAATCTTAAACGTTAAAGTAGATAATAATTAGAGTTTCCATAGTTTAATTTGTTTTTCAATATTAAGAGTTTCCAGGAAATGGTCTTTCCACAGTTTAATTTGTTCATCATTCGATGTGATCAGCTCCTCGCTCTCGTTCTCAATTGGTGATGTCTTGAATGTGTTTGATTCGCTTATTTCTCTTATTATTTTGTGCATCTCTTTTAGATCGTTTTTACTGGCAGCTGTTTGTATAGAGTCTCCGAGTTGGCTGTAGTTATTTCGTTTGTCGGTTTTCCTTTTCCTAGCCTTTTTCACGAATTATTTATTAAATCCATTTTTTAACGACGGTAATGGATTGCTTCAATATTGTATATACTTTAGAAATTAAAAATTATTAATTTTCAATTAATAATTAGTTATCGTGGTGCCATGATCAAAACTTTTCTTAATGTCGGAAAACGTTGAAAAAAAGAGTGCAAATTTAATAGAGAGCAACGAATTCAGTGTAGGCGAGTAAAATTGCTTGACTATTTGCATTGCTTAACTAATAGCTAATATATTCATTTAGCACGATATAAATAATAAAATTAATGTCGTTTACATTTAAGGTTACAATAGAGCGTGCTTATTCGTCACTCAGATTGATCTTAACTGATCAACGGAATCGTCTTAATCATGAAACTTTGGAAAACATTCTGATGGTTAAACTAAATCCACTATTTTTGGACCAACAGACTGATGATATGCCGTTGTTTGAATTTGGTGAATGCGTTTTAACTAAAGACTTGTAAAACAATAGATCCATTAACAAATAAAATTTTAAATTAATAATAATTTTTCATTTCTAAAGTATATATATCCATAAATAAAGACATAAATTATTTATTTACATAAGTTCCAGTATAATTGATTTAATGATTGAATTGAGAACGCAAATCATAGAATTAATTAATAACTACTTATTGGGATTTAACAATATTAATATTTTTTATAAATTTTTAATTGCATTATACTATTATTTAGTAATTTTTTAATTTATTTAGTTTTTAATAATGTTTTTAAAGTACTATAAAATTGTACTTTTCCTATTATTTTTCATTAAAAAACTAATAGTACATTTTACTCATTAATATAATTCATACTTTACATGTTATATAAAAACAAAAATTTAAATTATAATTGTAATAATTATAGAGATTTTTTTTTTAATTTGTTATGATAACGAACAGAACTGTTGTTAGTAACTGCACATAACAAAACAGATGTACATATTTTGCTATGTGCCGATTGTACGCAATCAAATGAGGTATATCTACATACTCGTACATTCCGCAGTTACTTGCAGTCATTATATTAACTATTGCTTCGACTATTGATTCTACTATTGCTACGACTACTGCTTGGACTATTGCTTCAACTGCCAGCACAGTTGCTCTGATTGTTGTAGTTAATAGTCGAATATCTTAAATCGACTATTGCTGTCGGCTTCAATTATGATATTGAGCAGAGTCTAAGCTACTTCTTTTTGCTTCTTCAGTAATTTTATATTTGATATGATATAAAATCAAGCACTATACATAATTAATCGACGACACTCATCTTAATGAACAGCCTTTGAGCTACAACTGATATGAAATATAATAAAGGCTAGTATTAAATCCAACATTTGAAACATTACTTCTGTATAAAACAGAAAGTCACTTGGAATAAATATATTTCATATGATTATCGTGTTCTGGTTAAAAAAATTAACTCACAATTCTTTATTTAGAAAATAGTATGGCAAAGACTTAGAACTGATTGTACTCTTTCAATACTAACAACATATTACACCGGTGAAAATCCAGAGAATTAGTACTACTAATTGTACTAAAAAAAATGTCTTGATGAACCTTTTTAAGGATTTGCTGGACGATAGCCAGCCTTTCCCAATAGAGTTGTCTTTTTTTTTTCATGCTGTTCATAAGAATGGATAGAGTTCCTTTACCTGGATTACAAGAAAGTTCACTATTAAATCACAGTTTAGCACTAATAAAATTATTGTGTTATTGTTTTAAAATGGTAGTATAATAATAAATAAAATGCTTTCCTTCCTCTCAATCAACGCTAACCACATTTTTATGATATATTAAATCACTCTTTTCGCTACATTCAGATTGGAAGTATATACGGTAATAATGCTCTAGATTATAGAATGACATGGAACTTAGTTGGGATTGTTCTGTCGAAACTATTGTATACCGTATTTATAAGATCTCGAGACCTACTGGTGTGTCACTGGTTTATCCTGATAAAAACTTAAGCTTATGGGCGCACCATTTTTAAATTTTTTCACCTATGTTGATTAAATATTGGATTTAGTTTGAATAAATTTCAACAAGAAATTAAAACTTGACAATACTAACATACCTACGCCTACGAATTTAAGATTTTGTGTTAAAATACGATACACTGAACAAATCTAAATGTAATTTTATTAAAAAAGTTATTCCTTTCGACTTCCATTATGATTATGCTGAGGTCTTAATAATGTACATTAGGAACGTATATTAAACTTTTTTGTGCTTATTTTTTGTTTAGTAGTTTGCAATAAAATTTAATCTATATGTGCGTAATATAACTCAGTATATTAACTAATTATTTTATTTTCCTTCACAATCACCTCGTATTTTATAATGATTATGTATAAAATTACTATCATAGATTAATTTTTTAATTAATTAATTATAATAATAACAAATAATTATATAGTACTTATGATGCCGTTAAATGTCATCCCTTGTTTTTTAAACGAAAAAACTCATTAAATCAGTATTTTTCGAATATAATATAAGTAACAGAGTATGATGTGGATTATTATTCTATTTTCACTCGAGGGAATAGATGTCTGTTTAGCTATCACTAAATATGGAATCACTGGAAAATTATAAAGTTCTTAATTCCGTTTTTCTGGCCGGTTTTATCATATTGTGGATTCATTGGATATGGACGCGAAGAAACATATATAAATACGGTTTAAGTTTCCCGGTATTATATGGTTTTCCTGTAATTGGTTCCTTATACGGAATGCGGAGCTTGGACAGTGAGTAAAAAATATTAATAGAAAACTAAATTGATTTAATGAATGAATCTTCTCCTTTTTGAAGATTTAACATCAAGACTTAATTATATTTTTAAATATTGTAAAAGTTATACTGTTTGTTTGTGGATTGGATGGTTTCCAATCATACTGACTGCAGATGCGGAGATTATTACAAATGTTTTGGGGTCTCCAGAGCTTCTTAACAAATCCGAAAGTATTTATCATTCTATTCGATGTTCCTTTAAAGGCGGTCTTGTTGCTAGTAGAGGTACTACTATTGTAAAGTATTTTAAAATGTTAAAAGTTATTTTTTTCCAAAGTTGATAAATGGTCGAAGAATCGCAAACTGATAAATCCTGCCTTTGCAAATAAAGTGCTTCTGAGTTTCTTTCCAATTTTTAATAAAGCTAAGAATAATATAATTGAAAAGTGTAGCGAACTGGTAGACAATAAGGAACATAATTTACTGAATGCTATACAAACAATGACTTTAACATTAACTGCAGGTATAAAACTATTGAACTATTGACATTAGAAAACGATGATTAAATAAACCATTTGACTTCAGAAACAACTATGGGCAAGTACATGCACAAAGGTAACCAGATTTCGAATGATGTGGCCAAACATTATTGTGTGTAAGTCATTTAAGTAATTAAATAGTATATATATATAGAAATAAATTCATTTCATATGTGCAGCATACTGGAATATACAATAATTCATACGATACTTTCGTTTATGAAACTCGGTTTCATAATGGAGTTGTTTTCGAAATTTAGAAACGCTAAGAAATTTTCATACCAGTTCGTCGAAGATGTTAGTATTTATTCTAATTCCTTCACAGAAAAGATAAAAATTGCTTATAATGTTACAGTTGATTTACAAAAAACTTTCTAAAACTGCTACTGCAGAAAAGAGTATAACAAATACTAAAGATGACATGTCCAGTAATGAGGATTTCTTGCTTACAAACGAAGAAAATGAATTCACTAATAATGAAAATGATCTTGCAGACCTTTCTATAAAAAAAGAGCCAAAAATATTTATTGATCAAGCAATAAAACTATACAAACAACAACTATTCACATGGAATGATATAATAAGTGAATCAAATATAATTGTTGCAGCAGTGAGTACACATAAAGTATTTATATTTAATATATTTACAATTCTTCATTGATTACAGGCATTTGAGACTACAGCTAGTGCCATTTATTCTGTTCTTGTTATGTTGGCCATGCACCCGGAAATCCAACAGCGACTTTTTGAAGAAGTCTTAGACGTATTTCCTGAGAAAAACTTTAATGCTGAGCTTGATCAGTTAGATCAGTTACAATATTTGGATTGTGTAATAAATGAAACACTTCGCCTTGCTCCACCTGTTCCAATAATCGGACGTCATGTTACAAAAGATACACAAGTTGGTAAAGATGTATTTCCCAAAAATATACAAATTATAATCTCAATACTACATCTTCATCGACGAACCGATATTTGGGGTCCAAATGCAAATAAGTTTGATCCAGATCATTTTTCAGCTGAAAACTTTGGAGAAACTCAAAAATGTGCTTTTATTCCATTCTCAAGAGGTAGAAGGAATTGCATAGGTAGGCCTCTACATAACTAATTTAAATGTACATGATTAGTTCATTATGTGTTGGTTACAGGATTACGATATGCAATGTTCTCATTGAAAATCATATTAAGTGGACTTATTCGGAACTTTAAATTTGAAACAGATTTTAAATTCGAGAACCTCAGATTTACGACTCAAATAGGATTGAAGTATGTACAGGAACCCGAATTGAAAATTCGCATGAGATCATAAGTTTTATATTATACCATAATTTTGTTGTGTGTATATTGTTTGTATATGAGCTGAGTAAACTTTTTGAAGTCTATTTTTAATTAATAAAATTTAAAATAAAATAAATAAAATAAAATTGTAAATAAAATTAAATTTTATTCAATATTTGGTCTACTTTACATGGTTCTACTTTATTATCGAATAAACATGATTTCAAATTATATTACGAACCAGTAGTTTACGTAACTAGAAAAAATAGAGAAAAGTAATGGAATATTAAATTTATAGGATAAGATGTTTTTAAACATATTTAATGACCGGTCGAATGTTTTTTTTTGTTTGTTTTTTTTTGGCGGAGAGGAGGTTTAAAAATGTCTTACGCATCATCACTATGTCGTCCATTAAAAATATTTTGTTGTTCTTCGTTCGTCTCGCTTAGGTTTATTTGTTTCACTATTTTTTAAAATTTGTCATTTTCTAGATCATATTTTTTCCGTTTGAGTATGATCGTAATAAATCGGTCTATGGCGGTCCAGTTTTCTTCAGACAGCATCGTTTTCGTTTATTTCACCGACTTATGTCTCAAGTGAAGTTCTTGCGATGTTCCATCTGTTGCATTTGAAGATGGTGTACTTAGCGTTATTTTCATCTGCATCTCCGTAAATGCATTTTGAATCATTTGTTTTGACAATGCGGAAAAGGTATTTCTGAAAATATCTATGATCAGAAAGGAATTGAGTTAAGTAATAGGTTACTTCGCCAGTATTCCTGTCTGACTATTTCACCACATCTGGGTTCAATCTTGCTGTCCATCTTCCTTTCGTTTCTGCATTCCATCTTTGTAGCCACTGTTGTTGGATTTGTAGTTTTACTCCTAGATCATTTAATATTGTGTTTTGGTGCTGCTTATTTTGCCACCGTATTTTCCTTTCTTTGACTCAAATACCGTACGGTATGCCAGATCTTTATTCTCACCTTCACTTGACTTAATTGTCAGCAAAAGCTACTAAATGTGAATCATCTGGCATTTCCATTTTTAGAAATCCGTTGTAATTTAGATTCCAAAGATCAGGTTCAAGTATGGTCCAAGTATGGCTCCTGATGTTATTTGAATTTTCTTTTTACCATCATGTGTCTCGTAGATAAGTTCTCTGTCCTTTAAGTAGCTTTGAAACATTTTCATTAGGTATGCTGGTACACGAAACCAACGTTTGAATACATCAATTATATCACCAGTTGCCAGTTGACACTATTGAAAGCATTTCGGACAGCGAGAATCGCTAACAGAACTATGCGTCTGGAGTGATGGTTGGTAGTCTGCATCGATGTTACGGTGCTATTAATGTCTTGAATGGCTTCTAATGTAGATCGGCTTGTTCTGAAGCCGTGATGACGTGACGACAGCCCACCAACTTTCTCTATGGCAGTTCCGAGTCCACACTTTATTAAGCGTTTCAACAACTTCCCTCCAGTGTTGAACATGCAAAGTGGCCGGTATGCATCCAGGAGCTCCGGATTTTCCTTTCCCTTGCTTATAACACCAATGTCAGGTGTTGCTTTTTTCATACTGTTGGAAAATTACCTCTTTCAAGCATTTTAAGAAGAATATTAGGCTTCTCATTTGCAATAATCTTGTATAACTTATCACTCAATAAATCTTATGACTAACTAAGAAAAACCAATTTTTTCTGCCAAAACTCAATTTTACTCAACAAAATAATCTTGTCTTGGTGAAACAAAATTTTTTTCTTTGCAATATGCGGTCGTTTTTTCACAAAATCTGCTTTCAAACGATCCAGTTATGCCGCGTAGAAGTTACTTTTGATGGTTTTTCCCTTTTTGGGATAGTGAATAAAGATTATACCATGAGCATCCCAAAATACTGAAGCCATAACTTTCCCAACTGACTGTTGTGCCTTTGGACGCTTCGGTAGTGGTTCACCGGCTGAAGTCCACTCAGATGATGACCGTTTTGATTCCGGAGTGAAATAATGGATCCATGTTTCATCCATTGTCACATATCGATGCGAAAAAAATCTGATTTATTACGTGTAAACATGACCAAACACTGCTGTGAATCATCAACATGTTGTTGTTTTTGATCGACTGTGAGTAAACGCGGCAACCCCTTTGAAAAGAGCTCTCTCATGATCAAATGGTCATGCATAATTGTAAACATACTGGACTAACCAATTTCTGGACTTTTATGATGTTTTCTGGAGTAACTACCTCAATTGAACGATTAGAACGTCACTATCATCGGTGTCCGTACGAACAAATGGTTCTTTTCGATGGACCAGAGTCCGGATAACACTTTTGGAGCCATTACTGAGCTTGCATAGTATTTTTTTCATCAAGAAGCAATGATCTGTTAAATTAACACACGAAATTGTTTTGAATCCATTATTTTGAAAATAACAAAAGTAGCTTCACCTAAATGGCTGTCACTAATGGCTGTCATTTTTTCTGACTAATCGAAATATCGTGTAAAATTTACATATAGTCTTTTAAAAGTTGGTACTTCATAAACGTCATATGGATTTGACAATTGCAGTGTTAATGTGTTATATAGGTATATTAATGTGTGTTATATCAGTCGGGATACCATCAGGTCCTAGAGCTTTGTTATTTTTTAAGGTCATTGCTGCTCTTTTGAGTTCAACCTCTGTGCATACAGGGAAGGAAATATGTGAAATATGTGCTATTTCTTCATCTGGTTCTCTTATTTCATGAGAGGTGAATAAACTGTGAACTATCTGCAATGTGCTGTTGTCAAGGCGGAACTATACCCAAAATTAAATTCAAATAGCATAAGCATTATTTATTCAATATATTTAGTTTTATGAACATTAATATAATTATTGTGTATTTTATTTCACTATAAAAATAAAACATGTAAAAGAAAGATATATGCTACATATGAGAAATGAAAAAGATTTGGAAATTGTAAAGAATCATAGAAATGTTGGAATGTTATTTAAACTCTTTCTGGTAATTAAGTTTTATAGTATAAAAATTTTTCAAACTGAAAACGTTTTGTATATACACCACTTTTTTAAAACTTTTAACTCGATAAGTGGCTAATTCTCTTGCCTACCAATGTTTTAATAAGGAATATAAGGTAAGAGTATAAGAGTTTATATTAAAATATCTGCAATCAAGTATAAAAATTTACTAAATTAGCATTATTCTGATATATACTAGCACTATTTTCACCTAACATTTATTTCTAATACGGGGTGTCACTTCCGAGAAATTTGGAACTTCAAATTTATTCGGAAAATATACAAAATATGTATATATTCCATAAAATTTCGATTCGAAAAGTGTAGATAATTGTAATTATTTCTTCGTCTGATAATATATGTAGTCAAGAATTCTACATATCTAACCGACGACAGTGATCTCAATCAACAGCCATTAAGGTACAATATTAAGATTTCCAATTCCATAACGGATATTGAATGTACCTTATATGTGAAATATTGTTTCTTAACCAAAAAAAAAAAAAGAAAAAAAAAACACTTTTTAAGAATAACTACATCAATGTATTGTACATAAATATCATATAGTAGTTAAAGAAACAACTTGTACATATGATCGCAAGTTCTTTACTCTGGAAATAGTATCGCAGAGACTTGAAAGTGAGAAAAAAGCGAATAAGTGAGGAAAAAGTTTTCCATAATATAGTTATATTAAATTATTAATAATTTCAATATATTTGGAAAATGTAATAATAGTATTAAAAAATTGATATGTCAAAATCTGTTATTTAGTTTGTTTTTCTTCAAAATGTTGCTATTTACTTCGCACACAAGTATTCCATCACCCCACTTTATGAAGAAATACCCTTCATCTAATTTTCCATCAGTTATCATTTATATTTTGCTTTCTTGATTCTTTTTTCAATATCACCGCGTGCGTCGCTGTAGTTGTTAAGTGGCTTTCCAAATATTCAAATTCAGCAACATCCTCAATTTGTTCATAATCATTGGAGAAACTA